AGGACAACACGCCCTCCCCTGGCAACCTAGGGGACATTCACGTCCACGCCGAGGACAGGAGAGCCAGGATGCCAGCTCTGCAAATTCCCACGCTGGGCGCAGGGCTGCCGTGTGGCATCCAGAACGGAAAAGGAAAAGTGAAGGGCAGAGGCCAGCAAGCCGAGGGCGGCCCTCCCCGGGGGCCCACGGCCGCCTTCCTGCAGCTCCTTCCCCGCAGGCCCCGACCGGCCAGGCCCAGCGCCGCAGGACCGCACAGGAGGTGGGAGGGAAGGGAGGCCTGCCTGGCGGTCCGACAGTGGGACGCAGGGGCGCCGAGCCCAGGCCTCACCCCGGGGCCCTGACTATAGGCACTGGCACCCAGATCCAGGGCTGCATCCAGTGGTCTGGGCTCCCGGCGTGGGGACCACGGCTTCAGCCCTTCCCTGTTCCTGTGGCCTGGAACCTTCCCTTCCCTCTGTGGTGGGGCTCTTCCTTGGGCACGAGCAAGGCCCATCACTCACATCACACAGGCCACCAACGCCCTGGACAGAGAGGCCTCCCAGACCCCACCTAAGCCAGCACCACCTCGGTCAGCCCCTTCCCACCTCACTTTTCTCTGTAGCTTCCCCACTCACCGGCATGTAATCTGTCCCTCCCTCCCTCCCTCCCTTCCTTCCTTTCTCCCCCTCTGTTCCATGAGAACAGGGCAGGTACCAGCCTCTGCTCAGGCCCCTCCCATGCCCAAGCGCAGCGCCCGGCACCCCGTCGGCCCTCCACAGACGCTGGTCGAATGGATCACCTGCACGCTTCCCAGTACATGCTTTAGGGACACCGTTTTATTGTTTTGCCTTTTTGCTTCTTTTTCTTTCTTCCTTTTTTAAGAAAAAATGAGTTTGGAAAACACTACACAGTCTGTCAGAAGCCTGCAGCGGGGCTTCCCTGGTGGCGCAGTGGTTGAGAATCTGCCTGCCAATGCAGGGGACACGGGTTCAATCCCTGGTCCGGGAGGATCCCACATGCCGCGGAGCAACTAGGCCCGTGAGCCACAACTACCGAGCCTGCACGTCTGGAGCCTGTGCTCCGCAACAAGAGAGGCTGCGACAGCGAGAGGCCCACGCACCACGATGAAGCGTGGCCCCCGCTCGCCACAACTAGAGAAAGCCCTCGCACAGAAACGAAGACCCAACACAGCCAAAAATAAATTAATTAATTAATAAACTCCTACCCCCAACATCTTCTTAAAAAATATATATATATATACCCTCATTATCCAATCCCACTAACCAGATAAAGAAACCCCTTACCATTTGCAGCGCACACTGGCATATCAAAGCCTCTGAAAAGTCCTGCAAAAGCAGTACCTGCTTAACATGCTTTACACAGAGCTTCCCTTTCCCAGGGCTCTCTTCACACCCACGGAGCCGGTGCAGCCCCTGGCCCCTCCTCGGGCACTGCCTCTCCGACCTGTGGCCTCCTCCGATGGACTGAGCCCAGCCCACATGGAGACAGTTCAAGCTGGAGCTACAGACAGTCTTCCCGGGACCCATTCCATCTCAGGCTCCACGTGCTCACTCCAGGCCAGGTACCTCATCTGTGCATTTGGGTCCCTGCTTCGATAAGGGGGAGCCAGGACCCAGGGTGACCACGGCTGAAACACTGGGAGCGTCCAGGCAAAATCTGCCCCCTGACTGGGATAGAGGTGGAATTCAGAGAGCCACTGGGCAGGAGGGCACCCCAACAGCAGGAGGCCCCCGGGCACACGTGCTCTGGACCCACAGGTCCTGGGGCGCCCTGGTCACCAGGCACCCCGCCCAGCTGGCACCTCTTCTTTTCCGTCACCTCCCGGTCACACATGCTTTTAAGTGGGTCTCGGAGGAATCCCAACACCATTAGAAGCTTCCTGCACAAACACCACAGGGGCCTGACGCTGTCCCGCACGCAGCCCAGTTTCCAGGTCACATCCCAGGGAGGACAGTTCACTGTGGCTGGTGGAGAGGGGTGGGGCCAGCAGGGGTCAGCGTCCCAGGGCCCTGCCCCCGCCTGCCTACCTCTCCGGGTCCCCTGGCTGCAGAGAGCCTGGACCGGGGGACAAGGGAAGGGGCTAGACAGGCTGGCGAGGGGGGCAGTGGGGAAATGAGGAAAGGGGCGAACAAACCGAGAGAAAGAGGGAGGGCGGGAGCCCTGCGCCTCATCGCCATCCCCTCTGCTCGCTCTCAGGGTCTCGGAGGACCCTGACCCCGTCCGCAGGCCTGACGCTTGTTGGCACGCAGCCGGGAGGGGACTCACACCTGACCCCCCCGAGGCAGGGCTTTCCAGGGACTGGGGGCTCCGGCACCTACTGGGACCCCAAGACCCCCACCCCAAGACCAGTGCTTGATGCAACCCTGCACCTGACCCCAGTGCCCCCTGCGAGAGCCCCCGGTTAGAAATGCACAAAGGGCTTGGAGCCAGGCTTCCGGAAGACTCCAGCTACACCCAGCTGGGAACTAGCCCTGAGGGGCTACAGGCAGAGTGACCCCAAGGGCTCAGCCACGATGTGGGGCGGCTGAGGAAGGGCCCCTGGCCGCCCACCTCTCCTTCCTCCTTCCCCTGCCTCCACTTCCTTTTCCTGGGCTCCAGCCGGCTCCCCTCACACCCCAGCGCCCATCTGGCTGGCCTGGTCTGCCCATCCTCACGCATCAGAGTCATTTCAGTGTCCTCCAGCAGCAGCCGGCCTCCTGGCAGACCTGAGCTCCCCATGGGCAGGTACTGACCCACCGGGTCCCGCTGAATCCCCAGCACTCAGGGGCAGCGGAGCAAAGACCAAACGAATGAATGAGTGAAAAAATGAACGAATGAACCAATGAGCCAGGGCTGAGGGCAGGATCCTGGGCTCTTGCCCTGCCCCGTGTGAACCGCCACCCTCACACGCTGGCCACCCAGACACTTGGGGGACAAGTGAGTGCCCCAAGAGGCCAGATCACAGGGCTCTTCCTAGAGCATTAAAAAAAAACAGATAAAAGCCAGATACATAAATAAGTAAATCCTGCCCTAAAAATGAATTTTTAAAAACAAACAACCAAGAAAGCCAAAGCCTCAAGTTCAGGATACACGTGGGGACCCTGCCCTGTGTCTCCTGGCTGACGGGACAACCTGGACCCCCCAGGGCCTGACTCAGCAGCCGAGATCCCCCCATTTCCCCACCACCCCAGCCCTGCCCCCAGCCAGCCGCAAGGCCCAGGCTGCCCTGGGAGGGTCCCGGCCGAGACCCCTCCCCACGGCTGAGAAACCCCAAAGGTCAGTCCTGGGCTGGTTCAGGACCCACCCGCCGAGCGGCGTGGCTGCATCCCCCCTCCTGCCGGCCGGCCAGGCCAGGGCAGAGCCAACTCGACCACTGTGGCCAGGGGCACAGGCAGAACCACAGGACAGGCCCACCAGGCTAGGGGTGAGACTGTCGTGACCCCTGGCACTACGGACCTGACCCAATGCTTGCCTCCGTTCCTGAAAAGCCAGCACTTGGACCGTCTCCGCAGTGGGCCTCCTGGGGTCCAGACGGCTCTTGGCCCTCCCGCTTCCCTCACCCAACCTGGGATGGTCACTCCAAGACACAGGTGACCCCAAGGGTCACAAACCGCAGTTCAGGGGTGCGCAGCGGACGATAATTGTGGGAAAACTGCCAGGCGAACCTGGACCTGCACCTGCCCCTCCCCCTGCCCAGGAAGCCAAGCCCAGAGGGTCCCCACCCCAGGCCAGACACGCGCAGGTGCACCCAAGGCCCTCCCTGGGCGCGATAGGCCACACTCTCCCTCACAAACCCGGGGGGACGCAGGCCTAGACCCCACCTCCTCTCCTCCACAGGTCATCGCTGTAGAGATGAGAGCCACAGAGAGAAAGGCTGCTGTCAGAGCTGGACACTCCCACCCGGGGGCCACTGGCCGGCGTCCACCCGGTCCCCCGCCTCCCTTCCTGGGGAGAATTACTCATTTCCTCTCCTGGACAAACATGGCCACACCTTTTACTTTCCCCCCTTTCCCGCTGGAGCTCACAAAGGGCATCTGTGGCCTCCGTCTATGGGCCCCCGGGGGCCGGAGAACAGGCGGGGACGTGACCCCTGAAGTCCGGTTCCCACCCCAGGCACAGAACGGCCCACCCGTGGTTAACCCGCTCCGTGGGGAACCATGACCCGCCACCCCTCACAGTGCAGCCCGGTCTCACCCTGTCCAGATGCCACGGCGCCGGTTCAGGGGAGGCCTGACCCCTGGGTGGGCAGACCTCTCCAGAGGAGGGACACTGCCTCTTCGCACCCAGTCAGCCTCCCCTGCTGGCCCACCTGTGCCCACACCCGCAGGCCGGGAGCTGGACTCCAAGCCATGCCCATTCCTTTTACGAAGCAGAGGCTTCACAGCCAGCCGCTAAGATCAGAACCCGATTCCAGCCCCTCTCGGTCCCCGTCCCCGAGTCTGCGGCAGAGGCTGCCCGCGGTCATGTGCGGATGCTCAGGGTCTACCCCCCACCCCCGCATCTGTCAGGACCTCCCTCTTTGAAGGAGGCAGCAGACGAGGAGGCTGAGGCCCAGGACGCTGGTGAGGGGGAAGGACGGACCCGCAGCACGGGGCGTGGGCAGGCGGGACGTGGGCAGGCGGGGCAGGCGGGACAGGCGGGACAGGGGCTCACGCTCTATAACGCCGACGCCACACCGAGCTCAGGGGCGTCTGAGCCCACTGGCGCCAACCCACGGCCCCGGAGCTGCCCTCGGACCCCTCCCCGGTGCCGGGCACTTGGGCACCAGCAGACGGCCCCCCACCCTCCAGCTCGGTGTCCCCGCCAGCCTTTCCTTCCGCGGCTCCGGCCAGCGTCGGGGCTGGAGGACTCACTGGGCCTTCTCCTTCATTATGTCACTTAAGCAGCCTCTGGCGAGCAGAGTGGCCGAGAGAGGCCCTGAGGTCTCCCACACCGCGCAGGAGCCACATCCCGTTAGACTGAACGGGAGGCTGCGGCATCTGCGGCAGCAGGGGGGCGGGGCGGGGCTGCCGGGCACTCACAGGAGAGGCAGCCCTGGTCTCCGGGCTGCTGGTTCCACCCCGGGCAGCACCGCAACACGGTCTGGGCCTCCGTGGCGTACACCTGCCTGTAGCCCGTGTAGTAGACGGTTCTAGGAGAGAAGGGAAAAGGGGGGCGTTACCGTCGAGGGACCGGGCTCGAGGCACTTCTGCCCGATGCGTTCGGCTCTCACCGCACCCAGTCCCCCAGACCGATTCTCCCACTGTCCCCATTTCACAGCCGAGCAGGTTAAGGCACGGAGGTGGGCGGAAGGTCTGCATCCCGCGGCCGCACCAGGTGAACGAGGGGCCACTGGGGGCAGCGGGGGGGGGGGGGCGTTGACAGCCGTCCTGGAACCAGCAACAGGGCGACATGCCGCCCCTTCCCTCTCCACCCCCAGGGTGGTCCCGGCTCTGAGCCGGCCTCAGGACAGGCATCGTGCCCCACACGTGGCTCTCATCGCCAAGCCAGTCTGTGAGGGTCTGGGGGTCACACTCAGTGTCCAACCTGGGAGCGAGAGTGGCTCCTGGAATGAGCCCCGTGGGCCAAGGTGCCCAGTGCTGGGTGGGCCACACCCCAGGCTCTCGGCCCACCCGTGCACCAAGGAGGCAGGTGGCGGGCCTGTCCTGGGGCGTCCCCGAGGAGGGATCCCTTCCCTCACCAAGGGCTGCCCGAGGGAGACAGGCTGATGGGGGTGAAGCAATGGTGGGCAGCAGCAGGAGGACCCGAGTGTGTGAGCACACAGCCCTGAGATCAGAAGGGAGCAGGCAGGAGGGCTTCCTGGAGGAGGGTGGCCCGGGTCCAAGGCTGGTTCCTGCTCTGATGGGAGAGGTACGGCCTCACAAAGGCTGAGCAGAGGGAGGCAGAGCCCCACCCAGGAGCTGGAAGCAGGCAGCTGATCCAGCCAGCCTGGGGCCTGGCATGGGGAGTGGCCGCAGGAAGGTGGTGCCCACGCACCAGAGAGAGACCGGCCTCACCACCCAGAGGGGTAAGGGCCTCCTGTCTATCCCCTCCCCAAATCCAGATTGCCCCTGTAAGCCCAGCCATTCAGGGCCACCTCTGCCAGTGCAGCCCCGGCCTCCGCCCTGCTTCTCCTGGCATTGCCCAGCCCCGGACTCGCCTGCAACCATGAACCTGGAGCAGAAGCCAGGGTGGGGGGTAGGGGGTGCCCCGCTCCTACTCAGCCCCCCACCCACCTCCCTCCAGCTGCACCCCAACGCCAGGGCTCCGGGTCCCTTCTGGAAGCCTCTGCTTCTGCTTCTTCCGAGAGTGGGTGAAGCAACGCAAGGATCTGCCTGACACCCCTGCCAACCTCCCGGGGAAGCCACCCTGGCTGCCCCTCCTGACACCCCAGCCCAGACAACCTCCACCCCCATCTGGTGATGGTCAGGAAGACGGACGACTAACTGCCCCGCCTGCCCCGACCCCAAGCGGAGTCCCCCAAATCATGCCCACCCGGAACCTGTGAAGGTGGCCTTATTTGGAAATAGGTTCTTGACAGATGTCCTCAAGCTTAGACGAGGCCAGCGTACTGGCTTAGGGTGGGACCTAGTCCAATGGCTGGTGTCCTCACGAGAAGAGGGAACTGTGGACACAGACAGAGGGAGAAGGCCAGGCGGCCACACAGGCAGAGGCTGGGGTGATGCCGCCACCAGCCCAGGAGCGCCAAGGATGGCCGGTCATCACAGGAGCGGGGAGAGGCCTGGAGCAGACCCTCCCGCCAAGCCTCCAGAAGGGACCATCCTTGCCCACACCTTGCTCGCAGACTTCTAACCTCCAGACTGTGAGAGTGTAAATCCCTGTTGTTTTTAGCCCTCAGTTTGTCATAATTTGTTACAGCAGCAACAGGAAACTCATACAGGACCCAGGGCTCAGCACAGGCCCTGGGGTCCACGGCTGTGAGGTCCCTGTGTTTACAGTGACAAGCCTGGTCAAGGGGATGTCGGGGGCAGGAGCGGGGGAGAGGGACAGAGAGCGGAGGAACGGGAGGAGGGGAGGGGACAACCCAGGGCCCACCCTCCAGGCACAGCACCCTCGCACCCACTGCCATCTGTAGAACTGGCGACCTGGGGCTTGGCCAACGGCAGTTGGGTCGAGGGCCCTGGAGGCCCCAGGAGTAGCGGGAGGGGCTGGGCTGCCGTCTCCAGGTCATGGACACCTGGAGACACGGGCACCCCTGCCCCCAGCTTGCTCTTCCCGGCCCTCGGGAGTGGCATGAAGCCCGTGGCCACCGGGGGACCTGGACCCCACCAAACAACCAGGGCGCTTCCCAGAAGTGTGAACGCGCGCACGTCACTGTGTACGGGCAGCTCGGGGGACTCTGCACGACGCCACTCTGGCAGGACATGAAACCAGTTGCCTGGAGAGAGACCGACCACAGTGGTGGACAATGTCTGGCAGGACGGATGGTGTCTGGGCCCTTCTGTCGTAAATATTTCCCCTTTCCCTGGGCTACATGCTGTTCCTCTCCGTCACCGGGAAGACGGGCCAGCTGGGCCCATGTGCCGCCCTCCCCAGCATCCCCTAAAGTTAGTGACCCTTGGAGACAGCGGGTCAGCCTGCAGCCCCCACTGGGCCTGAGAGCCAGCCCTTGCCCCCTGCAGCTCATATGGGACACCTCCCGTGGGAGAGTCACAGGGGCTCTGGCCACGGCCAGGAGCTGGTTCCTGCAGGGCCAGGTGGACAGGGGTGCGTGGCTACCAGGCTGATGTCCACTCCTCCACCTTATGCAGACTCCGCAAAGCCCAGGCCCCAGCGCAGCGGGATCAGTGGGGAGGGGCCTGGTGGGAGCCCACATGTGGGCTCCGTGCTCCGAGCATCCTCTCCCTCCCCACCCCGCTTCCTTCCTGCCCCCCAGGGGGCGCATGGCCCAAGCTCCCCCACCCTGGGGCAGCCTGTACTGGCGGGTTTGTCGGGTAGACGCCCACTATGGGGAGAGGGGCAGCAAGCCCCCTGACGTCCTCATCCAGTCTGTCAGGTATCACCTCGCCGGCTCTGGGCCAGGAGAGAGCCCCGTGTCACCCCACATGGCCCTGCCAGGGCCACGCAGCAGGCCCACCAGCCCAGAAATCAGAAGTGGGAGTCACCGCGGCTGCAAGAGAAATGGCAGCTGCCACGTAGCTGCCACATGTGTGGCCTGGCCCGTGGCTGGTTACATAATCCTCCCCCAGCTGCAATCCAGGCCTGATGCCCCTGCTCTGCAGTCGGGGAACAGATGCTCAGACAGGGTCTGACCCTAGAACGAGGTCTGGCCCACTGTGAGTCCTCGTTTGCTGGCCGTCCCCTGGGAGCTCCAGAGAGGAGGGACCTCCTGTCTGTCCAAGGGAGGGAGGGTGACCCTGAGCTGGTGCAAGTTGGGGTGCGGTCAAATCGTGGGGTACAGAGCGTGCTGCCTCTAAATGCAGCTCCTCAGACGGCAGGGCCCTCAGAGGTTGCACCCACACTGGCTGGGTGTGGGGGAGCGGAGAGGCTGGCCTCCCGCCCTCGCTGCTGAGATGCAGCCTGGCCCCTCCCCATCTGGCTGCGGGCGTGGGCCGAGGAGAGGTGCCGGCAGAAGCAGGAGGGTGGCTCGGCACCAGCATGCCCTGTGTTTCCCAGAGCACGTGGGATGCTGGGGCCTCTGCGGACACGCTCCTGATAGGCAAGGAGAAGTGACACGGACCAAGGAGGGCTGGACGGTGGTCTGGCCGCGGAGGAGGGAGGGCTGGGGCTCAGGGCAGGCTTCACGGGGAAGCCGGAGCCTCTGTGGGTTACTGAAGGATGAAGAGGAGCGGGCCAGCGACGGAGCCCACAGCCTGGACGGCCACTGAAGGGCCAGCTGTGCGAGGCATTTTGGAAACCTTGCACAGCTGAACGGTGGGCTCGGCCACAGGCGTCATGGGGGGCATACGACACTAACAAGCTAACAAGGCCAGGGGCCCTCTGGAAGGGAAACGAGGCCGGGACCCCCACAAACACTGGCCACTGACCCCAGGAAACGCTGCAGGACGCTGACCGCCATGAGCACCGGGGCGGGGAGGCAACCTCGCTCACCTGGAGCGAGAACAGCCCAGCAGAGGAAGGTGGAGCCCGGCTCCAGCCCGGAGCCAGGCGCACGGGACGGTGGCCGCCACGGAGCCAGGGGCCCGCACTGCTCCCGCGGAACTGCGGCGGCCCTGCTGGGTTTCAGGAGGGAGGGTCCCTGACACCCGAACTGGGCAGTGCAAGGACAGGACCCCAGAGGCCCTCCCGAGCCTTCCCAGGAAACTGACCCAGAACACACACCCCTGCCCCAGGCTGCACACAGCCTCCCCAGCGCCTGGACTCCCTGCCAGGAAGCTGAGGCACCAGCCTCCTTGGAAACGCTGTCCCCCGCCCTGCCCAGGCCAGCCTGGAGAAACGGTCTGACAGCCAGTAACAGGGGCCTCCGCAGCACGGCCACCCACTCCACTCTCCAGCCCAGGGACCACAGGGCTTCTGGTTGCTTCCAAAAGAGCGCCCTTTCACCACAAGGTGGGGGGCGGGGCGCAGGAGGGGGGTGGCAGCTGACATGACCTGATACCCGTTTAGCAAATCCACCTACATCCACGCGAGTGTGGAAGCTGGGAAGGACAGACTGCAAGATGCACGTCTCGGGAAACGATGGTGGTGATTTCTCCTTCTTGTCGGGCGTGGCCCAGCCTCAGCCCTCCTGACTCTGGGGCGGGACCTTCGTGGTGGAAGGGCCATCCTTGCCTCCACCTACCCCATCCTTCCAGCCCACCTCTCACAACCCAAACTCTCCAGACACTGCCAATGTCACCAGCAGGGAGACGAACCGCCACCAGCTGAGAACCACGCTGAGACGTAACTGCCCCATCTCTCTCCGTTCTGCACGTGTACGAATCATACAGCAAACGTTTAAAACTAAGGCCACCCCCCACCCCCGCTCCCGGGGGCAGGCCCAGCAGGTTCACGTCCCGAAGACCTGGCCCGAAGACCTGGCCCGAAGACCTGGCCGAGAGGCTGGACAGCACACTCCCGTCGGAGGACTCAGCCCTCCTCCCCAACGACGGAATCCCCTCATCACCCCACCCCACCCAGCTTTGCAACCAGGCAGACGCCAGACCCCGAGTCTATAGAAAGAAGAGAGATAGGCAAAGGCACTCCTCTGTTTGATTGTGAAATAAAGTCTCGAGCAATAAAGGCTTCACACGGCCTTGGGGTCAGAGAGTAGCAGCAGCCTCCAGCCAGGACCTCGGCAGGCTGGGCGCCCTGCTTTTCACCCTCTTGCATGGTCAGTACCTCTCCCTGCAGGGTCCCCTCCTGTCCCGTAGAGTCTCCCCCTTCCCCTCCGAGGCCCCCTCCCCACGGAGTCCTCCCCCACCCACCAGGGCCCCAGGTGGCCGCTGAGCAGGCACTTACAGTCTGGGAATAGCCCCCATGGCGGCCACACCCCAAGGGTGGTGTCAGAGGCCTTGACCTCAGATGTGGGGCTTCAGTGACGGGGCGGTGGCGGTACCTGTGCCCTGAGACCCGGACAGCCCGGCCACCCCTTTGCCTGAATGGTCCATGCTGCTCTGCGTGTGAGCAGCCCCCACCCCCCATGGGACCCGGGGAGCCCTGCACGCACCTGCGTTTGTGGCCGACACACCAGTCCCGCCGCCCGCAGCCCGGCCTCCACACGGGCACCATGCGGCTGAAGGCCTGCACGCAGGGCTGGCGACGGCCCACCAGGGTCAGCTCCCGCTCCGCACACACGTTGGGCCTGGAACACAGACAGACGGTCAGCACTCTTGTCACCAACACCAACCCCCCTGCATGCTCACCCTCGGGTACCCAGCCGTCCAGACCCGAGGCCAGGTCCCGTGGCAGGGCACCCAGCCCGGTGCCCACCCCAGGCCTGCACAGGCCTGGCCTTGAGGGAGCGGATGCTCAGGGGAAAAAGGAGGGGCTCACAGGGCCACGTCTGACCCTCCCCCTCACAAGGGCCACGCCACCCGGAGCATCCCTCCAACCCTCCCAAGACCCCAAAGCGTAGAAGCCACTGCCCCGCAAATAGGGGAAGTGGAGGTCCTGGGAACAGTGACGACTTGACCCTGAGTCCGTCTGACTCTGACCCTGGCGTTCGCTAGCCCCGACTCTCCCTGCTTCTGAGACGCCCCAAGCTGAGGCACAAGCATGAGACACACAAGCCAGGGGACCTCCCTGAGCCTCGGGTGCCCCCTGGCAGGTGAGGACTCGCAGCACTGGCCTCACAGGTTGTCGTGAGGGTTCACTGAGCCGGCACAGAAAAGGCTCCTGTCGGCCAGGGCAGGTGGCCTCGTAGGTGCCTCCAGGAGAGGCAGGCCCAGGAGGAACTGCCATTTGCAAACCGAGATCAGGCTCAAGTGAACTGCTGTAGGTGCAGCATCATGTCTGCTCCAAACTCTCACCCACCCCTCTGCCCAGCACGCAGACATCAAGTCTCCGCTCTCTTCCTGCGGGGGCAGGGAGGAGAGGATGAAGGGAGGGGAGGGCTTAGGCCCGATGGCCTCCGAGCCTCCAGGCTGCAGGGCCTGGCCTGGACCCTGAAATAGCCCCCCGAGCCGTGGGTGGCCTATGAGGATGGAGGCGACACATTCCGAGGACAGTTACAAACACAGGCTCTGGAGCCAACAACCCAGGCCTGGGGCCCGCTATGCAGCCTGAGGAAGGTTACTGACCCTCTCTGCACCTCGGCCTCAGCACCTATGAAGGGGGCAGCAGGTGCCTCAAGGGCTCCTGACACAAGATCACACGTGTCTGGAATCTGGCACGTCCCTGGCTCAGAGAAAGTCCCTGTGTCTCTGGGTCACAAGGCCCCACATCCCCTGGGATGTCACCACCATTCCCGTACATATGCCGACCCAGCTCAGCACGCAGCATGCCTCGTCAGGGCCTTGGGGAGGGCACGCCATGGCTCACAGGGGTCCATCATCTCAGGGGGGCTGCGGGGGGAGCAGGTCTGGCCACTCGGTCAGCAGGAGAACCGCCCCGCACGGAGCTTGGGAAGTTGGCGCCTGGCAGAAAACCCCAGAGTAGGGGCTGGTGCTCTCCTCTGAAGGGCCCCCTCCTTCCTGGACCCCTCAGACCTCAGCCACGAGGGCCGCCGCTAACCAGCAAGATGACCACGGCAAGGCCACACAGCAGCCTTTCCGGTACGCGTGCTCTGGTCACTCTCCCGTCCGCTGCCCGCCCTGTCCCCGCCCCCCCAAGGCACCTGCGTGACTCTGGTCCCCCAGGCCTGCAGGGCCGCCTGGCTTCCAGGATGGCAGGTTTTCCCTCTGGTCGCACCTCGCTCTCCACATCCCTGAAAACGGTTAAAGGGAGGAGGGGCTAGCGCTGGAATGATTTTCTCCTCTGGGAAGCTTCCGGCACCTCAGAAGCACAGGCGTAGCTGGCTTTTCCATTTGGAAGGAGGGAGGAAGTGGGATGGGGGAGGGAGAGCCGAGGAGGAAACAAAGAGGCCAGTGGGACGAGGGCACAGGAAAGACCCCTGAGGTGCAGCAGAAGTCCCTGCTCGGGCCCGTCTGCTCCTGAAGTTGGACCCAGCTGCCCATCTGCGGGGAGGGAAGGCAATTTCCCAGCTACAAAGTGAACACAGCTTGGGCGGAGGGGGTACTCATCCCAGCTGTCGGGCCATCTACTCCCCGGGACAGAGCAGGGCTCCTGGAGGCTGGTGGCCTTCGCCTGGAGCTGGAGGTGAGGGTGGGCATGAGATGCGTCCCTCCAGGGTGGGCAGTTCCTGGGCCCACAAGGCACCAGGGTGAGGGTGGGGAACACCGGGGCAGGGAAGCGGGGCAGCTGGCCTTGCGCAGCCGGGGAAGCCTGGCTGCACACACCCCCTGGTCCAGGAAGGGGGCTGCGTTGCTGAGCAGCGGCTCCGTCACGTCTGTTTTTACAGGCTCCGGGGTCCTAGGGATGCCGTGACCCAGGCAGATCACTCCTGGACACCCGGATCTCCCCACCAGACAAGTGGACAATCGATCAGAGCGTCAAGCACGTGCCCAGCAGCAAACGCAGGGCCTGGCATGGGGCAGCTGGCCACAGATGTACTCCTTCCCTGCCCTTTCCCTCCATCCATCACAGCCTCAGCCCCAAGAGAGATGGGGAAGCAGGACCCAGATTCCGGGAGTTGCCCACAGGCCACTGAAAGTACAGCTCAGCTTTCAAACTCCCTGACCGGTGAGCAGGGCCTTTGAAGGACCAGAGGAAACCTCAGACTCACCGTTCCAACCTGCAGGGCCAGTGGGTCCGAGAGTTACTTGCAAGCAGGGACTTGAGCTTGGAGGGCCTGTCCCTCTCTGGATGGGAGGGGCCAATGGAATGAACTGATTGCAAAGCACTGGCCACTTTCCTAGCACAGCTGCCCAGAGGACTCCAACCCAGGGGAAAGCAGTGCTGTGAGCTGACGTCTCCTCCGAGCTCTGCAGCCTCACTCAGGTTGGTCAGAGCTCCCTGTGCCCAGGCGCTGCTCCCACAGCCCTGCGTTGACCGGCCCCACACACAGTCAGCAGTCAGTCCAGGCCCCAGGGAGAAAGGCCAGCACCCTTCCACGGCCGCAGAGATTCATTTCAGAGATGTAAGTAAATAAATAAATAAGTAAGCGTTGGCTGGTTTGGAATCTGGACACGTGGGCCAGCAGGAGCCAAAGGACCAGCCACGTCACTCCTGCGTCCCAGCTGTCGGGACCCCAGAGCCCCTGGGGCTGCCAGGCAGTGGGAGCCCCCGTAGAGCACCCTCCTCCTTTGCCTCCCCACAGGCCCACCATGGAGGTTTTAAGCCGGCCAGAGAGGGTGGGGCTGCCCGCGAAGGGAAGGGCGGCACCGGCGACGGGGCCTTCGAGGAAAAGGACTTTCTGGGACCCGCGCTGCTCTCCGGCCCCTCCCCTGTCCCTCTGGGGTGCGGGGAGCAAAGAGGCAACTCTGGCACCTCCAGGAGTCCGCTGGCGCCCGCCTCCTTTCTGCACAGAACAAGCTGCGGAATGGGCCCCTTCACAAGGTGTCTCGGGGGTCTAGCAGCTAGAGCTAGCAGCCCCCCACTTGTTCAGCCAGCCAGCAGTGCCCACTGCGGCCCCACCACAGGTCCTGGCAGGTGCTTACAGACAGGAATGGGAAGGTGTGCTCGCAGGCGGCACGGAACTCAACACGAGGAGGGCATCAGAGACTGGAGGGACGCCCCAGGATGAGAAATAGGGGCACAGGCCCCCAGAGGGCAGGTGGGAGGCACCCCAGGAGGAGGGACAGGAGCCTTGAAGGATCTGAAGAGCAGGGGGAAGGAAGGGGGAGAAGGGGGGAGGAGGGGGGAGAAGGGGGGAGGACGGGGGAGGAGGGGAGGGGGAGAGGAGGGGAGGAGGGGGGAGGGGGAGGAGGCTTTGGAGAAAGCAAGCAGCAGGAAGGCTGACCTCTCCTGCAATCCTCCAGCGGCTGGTGGAAAGCCCTCCCCAGGCTGGCTAGTGGCCTCCCAGAGCCCTGGGTGAGTGGGCAGACCCCAGGGAACAGGCTCAGTACCGGGGGCCCGGAAGGGCGATCAGTGGTCCCCACAAGCGCACTGGGGCAGAAGCCCCTCTTAGAGCAGAGCCCTCCATCCCCAGCGTCCTCACCGGCTGAGCAGCTGTCCACCCTGACCAGCACCCTGGGATTCCCGGGAGCCTGGGCCTCTGGACATCCCCAGCCAACCGTGTGAAGAGCAGGCAGGCTGAGCGGCCAAATGCCCCGTGATAATCCCTTCTAAGGCTACAGCTTCCCTTGGACAAACTAAACTCACTGGGATCACAGCAAAGAGCAATGCTGGGCAGAAGTCACACGGAGAGGCGGGACTCGGGGCCCCAGACCACGCTCCTCTGAAAAGGCCACGAGGAACTCTTCCTTCTTGGAGTAAAGCAAGACCCAGGGCCCAGGGGGCGTGGACTTGTCCCTTCCGCAGCTCTGCCTGGAAGCCCGTCCTTTCCTCCTGTATGGCCAGGTGCACGGGGCCCTTGGGGCAAACACTGCAGAGGAAGCCCCAACCTCAGCCTGGGCCCCTCGCTGCCCCTCTGCAGCCCCTCAGCTGCCTTTCCAAGCTCTGCGGGCCCCCGGCCCAGCACCCTGAGGGAGCGCGGGGATGGGGGCTGCCAGCAAGCTCTCCCCCACCCCTCCTCCTCCAGACCGGCTCACTTCGCACCAGTCTTCCTTTGAGGCCAACACAAGGATCGATTTGCTGTTTGAAAGAGACCACTAAACAGCCCACTGGGGAATCATCTTTCAAAATTAAATTCATCTTGGCTGGCTCCCTGACCCTCTCTTCCTGCCCGTTCTGGTACTGAATGCCTTCTGTCTCCCAGGCCCAAAGCCCATGTGTTTAACACATAAACCAAGCCCAAGCAGCCCCCTGTCGGGCACAGCCCCCAGGCCCCAGGAGACAGGCTTTGGAAGGAAGTGGGCACAGGCTGCTTCCTCTTGGCCTTCCCCAAGCTCCCTGGCCGGACCCTGCCCAGGTTCCCTCACCTCGGCAGGATGCAGGTTCCACCCAGCCTGCAAACCCATGATGCAGAGTTAAGACAGAGGAGGGGGCTTCCCTGGTGGCACAGTGGTTGAGAATCCGCCTGCCAATGCAGGGGACACGGGTTTGATCCCTGGTCTGGGAAGATACCACATATACCACAGAACAACTAAGCCCATGTGCCACAACTACTGAGCCTGTGCTCTAGAGCCTGTGAGCCACAACTACTGAGCCTGCATGCTGCAACTACTGAAGCCCGCGCGGCTAGAGTCCGTGCTCCGCAACAAGAGAAGCCACCGCGATGAGAAGCCCGAGCACTGCAACGAAGAGTAGCCCCCGCTCGCCGCAACTAGAGAAAGCCCGTGCGCAGCAACGAAGGCCCAACGCAGCCAAAAATAAGTTAATAAAATTAAATTAAATTTAAAAAGAGGAGGAAGGGGAAGGCGAGAGGCCGGGTGGTCCTGCCACGGAAGCGCCCCCACACCCAGCCCCTTGTCTCTTAACCTCCGCCTCCCCCGTTAAGGCAATGAGCCCCGTGTTCTCAGGGCCCCGGGGAACAAGCCGCCCAGGGCTCCGGGGCTCCGGACGTCCCGCCAGCCCTCCCGCTCCCGTCCCCGCTCCTCACATGCCGGGCTGCAGGCGGAACAGGGCGCCGGCGCCCGCTGACACGGCGGGGGACAGCAGCACCAGGGCCAGGGCCACCGCGCGCCCCGCCGCCCCCGCCTCCGGAAGGAAAGGCATCGTGCCCGCCGCGCCGCGCCGCTCCCTCCTCCGGTCCCCGGCTCACAGGCGGCCCAGGCGGGCGCTCGGAGCCGCAGTCTCCACGTGCGCCATGGCCCGGGGGGGCGCACGGGGCGCAGCCACAGGTGCCGCGCCGGGTCCCGCCGACCGTGAGGTCGCCTCAGGTGGCGAGGGTCCGGCTTCCTGCCCGCGCTCGAGTGCAGCTCAGAGTGCTGCGCGCCTGGGTGAGCCCCGCCAGACACCAGCCCCGGCGCGGAAAGCCAGTGTGCGCCGAGCCCCGCGCGGGAGAGGCCGGCCCGCCTTCACCACGCCCCCTGCCCCGACCCCGGCCCCGACTCCGCCCACAGCCCGGCGCGACCCGACCCCGCCCACCCCGACCTCGCCCCGCCCCCGGCTCGCCCCCGGGCCCGGACCCCGGCCCACAGCCCGTCCCCGCGCAGATGCTCCACTCCCGGCCCTGCCCTCCCCGGCTCCCAGCCCCGCCCACACCCCCGCCCACACCCCCGCTTGGGTCCTCAGCCCCGGCGCCCCACCCACCCACCCACCCACCCACGGCTGCCCGTTCGCGCTCCCGGCTCCTCTCGGGCTCAAAGTCCCAGGTCCCGTGCGACACGAGTGACCAAGGGGCGGGGCACCAGAGATCCCGCCCCTCACCCCCTGCTAAGGCAGTCCTCCGTGACACCGGACCCCACACCCCCGTCATCCTACGGGGGGGGGGCGGGGGTCTCTGTCAGGCCAGCCCTGCTGCCACCCTGCCGTACAAATGGGGAAACTGAGGTCCGGATGGGAGCAGCGCCCCTAGTCGCCCCTTGTAAACTGCAGATCCGGGAACTGAACAAGGCGGGCTGGCTCTGCAGACCTTGACTCAATCTGTCAATCTAAGAAAACCGCTGGATCACGAGCTGAGAGCAGACGGAGGTCCGCAAGTCCGACGGCCCCTCGGCGGTGTCCCAGTCAACACATCCAGATGTTTGGTTTTTCACATTCTGGAGACTGGACGCCCAGGGTCAAGACGCTGACTGGCCTGCAGACGCTGCCTCCTGGTGTGTGCTCGCCTGGTGGGCGTGGGAGATGGGACAGAGACCGCAGCACTGGTGTCTCTTACTCTTCTCCTAAGGCACCAGACCTATAGGATCAGGGCCCCACCCTTATGACCTCATGTAACCTTAGCCACCTCCTCAAAGGCCCATCTCCATATACAGTCACACTGGGGGTACGGGCGTCAACGTATGAATTTCGTGGGGAACACAATTCTGTCCACAGCAGGGTGATTTCACCATCTTCTGAAACCCCAAACACAGGTTGACTCCCCTGCTCAGTGATGCCCCGACACGATCCGGTGTGCCAACCTCTCAATCTCACCCCTCAGCCCCACACTGGGCTCCCCAGAGCAGGACTGGCCCATGCTCCTCCTGGTCTCCCAAGGGCCTGCCCTAAGAGAGCCCAAGAGTGCCTGTGTGAGTGCGGGGCCCTGCCCTGGGGTGCAAGTCTCCACCAACCCTGAGAGCTTCCCAGAGGTCCACCCGCTGGCCATCTTTAAAGACCCAACCCGTTCCCCTCCAGAGCTGTGCTTGGCACGAAACGGGTGTTGGGTACACGTGCACTGGATGAGTGAGTGAGCAGCTTAAAATGTTCACCAGCTTCCCCGGGGACTCCCGCCCGGTCCCCCGACGTGGGCCGAGGGGGCCCCATTCTTTAGGAACATTCTCCTGCTTCTTGGAGAGAAAAAGGAAAGGATTCAGATGGGTCCTGTGGGTTAAAATGGAGGCTGCTCGCAGGGGGGAATCAAGGTTTGGTGGGGCCTGAAACGTAAAACGGGGGCCCTCTTGAAAAAGAGTTATGTAAAAAGAAGTTATTTTGCTAACTTGACAAAAATGCATGACCTGTGCGCACATTCCATTCCCCCTCCTTGGCCCTAACTTGGAAGGGCCCCTGAAGCATAAACGTTTTTGGCACCACCATAATCCACCTCTACCCGCCCGGCACCAAGTTCAGCTGTCAGGCGCATGGTCCTAAGGCAGGTGCCAGGTGGGCAGGCAGGTGGGAAGAGGGTGGGCACTTCCTGCGGGACGTCCCTATTCCTAGGACACCTACCACACCCCACACACTCGGGAGGGCTCAGGCTCAGGTGTAGATGCGTGAACCCGCAGCACAGAGGTCACCTCCCCAAACAAAGCCCCACCCGCGCAGACTGTCTGGCACCCCTGATGCTCCCCCGGCACCCTCGCCCATCTCCTCCCCACAGCCTGAACCCTGAGGGCATGGGAACGGTGAAGCATCTGATTGTTTAACTTCCAGTGTGTGTTGCTGCCCAGGCCACCAACACGCCATGAGGGGGTGCTTAGATTTTATATTTGAAACAAGTAATCAAACAGTACACATGTGTTTAATACACTTTTTTAAATCAATTTATCTATTTTATTTATTTATTAGTTTTGGCTGCGTTGGGTCTTCGTTGCTGCGCGCGAGCTTTTCTCTAGTTGTGGCAAGCGGGGGCTACTCTTCGCTGTGGTGCGCTGGCTTCTCATTACAGCAGCTTCTCTTGTTGCGGAGCGCGGGCTCTAGGTGCGCGGGCTTCAGTAGTTGTGGCACATGGGCTCAGTAGTTGTGGCTTGTGGGCTCAGTAGCTCCGCGGCATGTGGGATCTTCCTGGACCAGAGCTCGAACCCGTGTCCCCTGCACTGGCAGGCAGATTCCTAACCACCGCGCCACAGGGAAACCCATTTAATACACTTTCATAAGTGGATTTAACTCAGACAACTTTTCTAGTAACCCAACTAAGCAGACTGCAGTAAACATCCCCTGAGAATTCTCTCTCTTTGTCCATTTTCATTATAAAGTGACAGTTTGCGGACACTGCAAACATTTTCCTGGTCTGTAGTTTCAGTCTTAAGGTGGTTAACGATGCTTCTTCCAGACAATCTAAGTTCCTAGTTTTGTGTCCTCAAACCTATAGGCGGTCACACTGCTGTTTCCCCTGTTGCCTAGAAATGCTGTAGGCACTTAGCTGGGAAAGATCATGAATACGTTTTTCTTTCTTTACGACATCTGGGCATGCAAATGTCATTTCATATGGAATTTACCTGGCTGTGTGCTGGAAAGGGAGACTCTACCTGGTGGGTCGTCCAGGTGTCCCAGGGCCATTAGCTGGCCAGCCTGCTTCCTCCGATGCAACACAGCATCTTCAGCCCAGACAAGCTGCAAGGAGAACGTGTTTTTGTGGGTTTTTCCACTCCAACCCCAGTGGTTCTACCGTCTGCCCTGCACCACCGCGATGAGACACTCCCATGATGCTCGCTGGTGATGGGCTGGAGCACCTCCCCATCAGTCCTTTATTTACCTGCAAATTTCTCTGGGAATTCTCACCCATCATTCTTCCCAATGGTCTCTGGAGCCCCTTTATCCAGCACTTTCAAAGTTGCGCTGGACTTTTTATTGGAATTGCATTAAATGCATTCATTAATTCCAGGAGAACTGGCACTCTACAGTGATCCAACTCTGAGAAGGGCAAGAAGCATGGGGGGGCAGGGGAGATTTACTCTGATGGTGGAGGAGAGGCATGCAGCCCACACCGTGGGGCACCGCCACGTGTAGGATGGGGATTGAAGCCCACGGATTCCCACAATGAACCCACGGGGCCTCTGTGTGTGAAGGCTTCAGATTCCCTTTGAGCTGGAGCTCAGGAAGGATGCTTCTTAGCCCAAATTCCCATCCCCAAGGCCTTTAGCCAAACTGTAGCAAAACCTCCCGACTCCACCCTGGGATTCACTGGCCCAACTTACAAGATACAGACACAGCTTGGTCCTCCCGATGTGGAGCATTTGCGGGGCCACTCAGGCCTGGAAGAGAGCCCTGAAGGTGAGTCTTTTATGAAAAGCATGGTTAAAAGACACTGCTTGGGGACTTCCCTGGTGGCGCCACGGTGAAGACTCCGTGCTCCCAATGCAGGGGGCCTAGGTTCGATCCCTAGTCAAGGAACTAGATCCCACATGCATGCTGCAACTAAGAGTTCATATGCCTCAACTGAGGAGCCCATGAGCCACAACTAAGGAACCCTCGAGCCGCAACTAAGGAGCCCCTGCTGCAACTAAAGAGCCCACCTGCCGCAACAAAGACCCAGCACAACCAAATAAATAAATAATAAAAAAAGGCACTGCTTGTTAATGGTTTTGTCTTACTCTCTGCTGGAAATGATAAAAAATAGCCTTTGGACCAAGGAAAATTAACGTGGGGAAGAGGAAGACGCATGCCACCAGCTTGGCTGGTCCCTTGAGCAGGAAACCGCTCCCTCCCGCTTTCCCAGAGCTGTGGCCCCTCCCCTCTGCGGTCCTGCCCAGTCCCAGGGGATTGGAAAACAGGGTCCCGGGCCAGCACAGCCTCTGACGCTCCCTGAGCTAATGTTGTTCCAAGTCCAAGAGAAGAATCCAGCGTCCCATCTGAATTTTTATAGACACTTCTCCTTGACAAGAGAGCAAGCAAATTAATTAGCACCAGAGGCATTTCCGGGTCCCAGAGGAGAGGGCCTCGTGCAGGCAGTGTCCACAGGGGTCTCTGCATCCATGATAGTGGGGGGGGGTGGGGCGGCACCACCACTTCCCACAAACAGGCCCCACCGGGAGAGGACCGTGAATCCAGCATCATTCCTGGCTGGAGCTGAATGATGGCTAAGCTTGGCATCCAAAACCCTATGCCAAACGCTTCGCCAGCTGGATGGGAAGCTTTCCGGTTCTGGTTCTGGAGTCTGGTTCTACACCTCCTCGTTCGTCCCTGAAGAGAAACTGACCTCAAAGAAGCCATCCACGCAAACGTAAATTGGGCCGTGTGACGCGCCCGGAATAGGGTGGGTGGATTCGGAGCAGATGCCGGGTCGGGACGCCTCTGCTGACTCGCCACGCAGCCCTGGACGAGGCCCAGTGCCTCTCTGTGCCTCTGTCCCTGTGGTGAACCAGGACCAGAGCATAAGCCCCGAAGCTGGCTCCTTCTCGGCCGCTGGTCAAGGGTCAGCAAGTCGACTACTGCTCAGTGAACAGACCGGCCTGGCCTGCCCCTCCTTCACCCCTCCCTCCCTTTACCTGGGGTGGGGGCGGGGCCGTATCAAGAAGGGTGTTACAGACCCCCCCCCCCCCGCCAACCCTGAGAGCAGAAACCCGCCCACTCATTCACCAGTGCCAGGCGTTGGGTACAGCAGTATGTGGGACAGAAGCTATCCCCCAAAACAGTGGTCTTTCTAAGTCCTGGCACCTGGGACCTGAGAATCTGACCAGATTTGGTAAAAGGGTCTCTGTAGATGTAATTAAGCTAAGGATGCTGGGATGAAATCGTCCTGTACTTAACCCTCAACCCAATGACAGGTGTCCTCATAAGAGAAGGAGCAGGAGATCTGAGACACAGGGGGACACAGGGGAGGCCACGTGGCCACACAGATACAGGATGAGAGGGATGCACCCACAAGCCAAGGGACGCAGGGCACAGCCAGCCACCACGAGAAGCTGAGGGAGGAGCACAGAGCAGAGGGGACCAGCCCAGCCACTCCTCTCAGGCTTCTGGCCTCCGGGCTGCGAGACAGCAGGTTTCTGCTGTTTTAACCACCCAGACTGTGGTCATTTCTCACAGCAGTTACAGGGCAAGGCAGCGCCGACCCCAGAGGCCCACAGAGGAGGTGGCCGTGCACTAGGGATGCTGGAGCCACCCCCCCCCCCAACCTGCGCCAGCCCAGCCGTCTCAGCAGCACCAGTCCTCCGGGAAGACAGAGGCTTCTCCGGAAGCCGAGTCTGGGAGACGCGGGACTTTGTTGCTGGACACATTTTCCATGGTGCAGTCCGTGCATTTCTCGGGAACAAGGCAATACGTGTCCCCCTTCCTGTCCTCCCTCCGCTGCCACGTCAACCAGGACCAGGACAGATGTCCCAGTCCTAGGCAATGTCCTTTCCAAGATCTCCTGGTCCCTATCCTACCCTGGTGTCCCCCAGTGACCGCCCTGAACCGGGAAGCACATCCGTGCAGCCAGACCTTCTGCCAGGTCCCACCATCACAGCGCGGCTGCAGTTCCCGCCAGGTGCGGACAGAGCACTCGGGGCACCTGGGCCCAGCGAGGTGGGCCGCAGGGTTGGGGCAGAGCAAGACTGTCCACCTGGTCGAGTGCAGGATGCGATGAAAGTTATCATGGAAAAAACTCAGCCTTTAGAAACTGCAGGAGCACCGTGTCCGTCCTGTCTCCCCACATCCAGCTCGTGTGCCTTAAAGCCAGGAGGTTTGGAAGCCCACCCTCTTCCCCCCAAGGCCACAGCCGCCCCCCATCCCATCTGCTGGGAGGGTGTTTCTTTGTTGAAGGAGACCCGCCAAAGTCAAAGATCAAGGGCAGTCTCTACGCTACACCACACGGCAGCTCTTACACGGGTCCCTGGGGTCAGGACGGCCACCAAGCACTGTCCAGCCTCAGGCGCAGCCCTGGACCACCAGGGAAGTCCCTGATGTCCTCACCTTAACCCGGTGACACCTGCAAAGACCCCACCTCCAAATAAGACCACGTGTACGCATGTGGAATGATGGTGGCTGGCTCTGCAGCCTGGCTCTCTCCGGGAAGGAGAGGTCTCGCCCAGAAGGCAGCTGTCTCTGCGAGGTGAGTCTGGCCCACGGAATATTCCCCGGGCTCTGCCTTAACCTCCAACCTGGTGCACCCAGAGCCCCGGCAGCTCTGAGGTCCCACCCGTGCGGTCCCCGTGGGCTGTGCTGGCCCTGAGGCTCCCCGAGCCCCATTTCCATCAGAGGCAGATGGCAGAGAAGGGACCCATGGATTTGGTAAAACGCTAAGCACAACATCTGGAAGTTTAGATAAAATAAGAATCCACACCTCCCAGCTGAGACTTTGAAACCTTCCGCCCGCCCCACGGGACGAGAAGATGACCTTCACCTCCTGCTTACAGACGCCGCACCCTGCTCCGGGCTCTGGTTTGAAGGCCCCGTGTGGACGATTCTGCCACCTGCCGCTGGGAGGGGGAACAGCCTTTCAAAAGCCCCAAGAAAGAAGCATCGCAAACTCAGGGGGACTCAGGTCAGGGGAAGCCACAGCCGGACCGGCAGGAGCCCCCGTCCTCCCCCACGACCAAGGCGCGCCTGTGGACAGCGCCGAGTACCATTTGAGCCCCCTCGTTGTTTGCACGTGTATACCCCTCTCTCACAGGGAGAGCTGTGTCCCCTCCCGAGGCACACTCAAGTCCTAACCACCGTCATTCCACACGCGTGCACGTGGTCTTATTTGGAGGTGGGGTCTTTGCAGGCGTCACCGGGTTAAGGTGAGGACATCAGGGACTTCCCTGGTGGTCCAGTGCTGAAGACTCCATGCTCCCAATGCAGGAAGCCTAGGTTCGATCCCAGGGAACTAGATTCCACACGCTTGCCGCAACTAAGAGTTCACATGCCACAACTAAGGAGCCGGTGTGGCACAACTAAGCAGCCCGCCTGCCACAGCTAAGACTCAGCACAACCAAATAAATTAATTAATTAATTTTAAAAAATAAAAGATGAGGACAGCAGGGCGGGCCTGAGTCCAACATGAAGAGGAGAGAGAATCACAGGGAGGAGACAGCCACATGGAGACAGAGGAGGGGACTGGGGTGATATGCCCACAAGCTCAGGAATGCCCAGGAATGCCGGCAACCGCCAGAGGCTGGAAGAGGCAGGAGAGTTTCCCCTACAGGTTTCAGGGGGAGTGCGGCCCTGCAGACACCTCGACCTTGGACTTCTGGCCTCCAAACTGTGAGAGGACAAATTTCTGCTGTTGAAGCCTCCCAGTCTGTGGCACTTTGGGACGCAGCCCCAGGAAACGAGCACAGCACCCAGCGCTGTGTGTCAGCGAGCAGATGCTCAGTTCTCTGCCTAGTTATCTCTTGAGTTTGCGGACCTGCAGTTTCCCTGCCCTGCCCCCTCCACACCCACTGAAGGCTCAGGCATGCGGGCAGCATCCTTCCCAGGTGCCAAGACCATCCGGACTCACTGTGAACAGGCTGGTCTGGTGTTTTGAAACCCTGAAGGAATGCATCCCTGACGTGTTTGATGTTGTTGTTCTGACAAGATATAAAACCATGCTGAAAACCCTGCTTCTCCCAAGCAGCTCCTCAGAGCTATCTGAGAGGCTGGCTTCTGGGCTACAGTCCTCAGCTTGGTTCCGATAAAACTTGGTTCCGATAAAACCAGCTTGGTTCCGATAAAACTCTTTTCTATTCCTATATTAGATTTTAAAAAATTTTTACTGGAGTATAGTTGATTTACAATTTTGTGCTAGTTTCAGGCGTACAGCAAAGTGAATCAGTTATACATATACACATATCCACTCTTTTTTAGATTCTTTTCCCATATAGGTCATTACAGAGTATTGAGTAGAGTTCCCTGTGCTGTACAGTCGGTTTTATTAGTTATCTATTTAATATATCGTAGTGTGTATTTGTCAGTCCCGGTCTCCCAATTTGTCCGCCTCCCAGGCTTTCCCCCCTGGTAACTATAAGTTTGTTTTCTAATACACCCGTGACTCTACTTTTTTTTGTGAGTAAGTTCATCTGTACCATTCTTTTTAGATTCCACATATAAGCGGTATCATATGATACTTGTCTTTCTGTGTCGATCCCTATATTAGATTGTTTACTGATTATTTTCGTCAACACTCTAATTGCCTCGAGGGCCAACGGCAGTCACATCCTCTTGATGACCTTCTCCCGGTCACCAGTCCCCGTTGGATCCACTGCCGCCTCTGCCAGACCAGAAACTGGACTCGAGGTCCACCCCGTTGACCCCGCTGGGAGACACTCCTGCACGTCCTGTTGGGCATGCCAGGAGCAGGCACCAGACCCTGACCACCTTTCCCGGGGCCGTTGGTCAGAGAGGGACCTTGAGGGGCGAGGACCAAGCTTGTTCACAGGCCCCCGGTTCCCCTCTTGTGATGCAGCCACCGTGGGTAGCATCCTCCAGACACCCGCTGACACCCTGGACGTTGCTTCCCTGTGAACAGCAGTCCTCTGCCTCTGACCTGGGCTCGTGTGTCTTCTGCAGCATCCCTGAAACCGTGGCGGGCTAGCCCGTTAGCTCCCAAGTGGGGCGACATCTGTAGGATCTTGGCCTCCCCTTTCCCCTTTGCCTCTGACCACAGCTACCCGGCAAACCCCCAGTCTTGACCAGTCTAGCTACTGGTTTCTCCCACTCCCACCAGCTGCCAGGTGGAAGGCTCCACTGTGAACGTGCCTGAGGTCTCCCTGCAGCCCAGTGGTCCCCACACCGGTCCTCATCAGCTTCTTTGCTCATCACTGCTACTCTGAACCAAGCGTCCTCACCCAAATTCCCAACCCCCCTGAAGAGAGCGGATGTCCCAGAACCTCTCAGTACCCCCTCCTCCCCCACTGCATCCACATCCCACACCGACCTGTCCATAACCGTCCTCAGCTCTCTCCATCTGTCCCTGAGCAGATGGTGTCCCCCTGCCCTAAGCGAGCCCCGACCCCTGGGCTCCAGGTTCCAGCCCCTCAGCTTCTGCCAGGAGCCAGGTCCATTCATGGGCCTTCGTCCCGTTTCTCACTCCCGTCCTTGACTCCACGGACACCCACGGGGCACCTGGAGCCAGGGCTGCACAGGGCATGAGGTAGTCCTCTCAGCACGTGTGAGCTGGTCAGAGGCTTGTGACAGCCTGGGAGCCAGGTTTCATCATCCCCGCCCTCCAGATGAGGAAATAGAAGCAGGAAGGTTAAGTACCGGGTTCAGGGCCCTCGGGGGCTGGCCATCCCGCCAAAATGACCAGGCCTCTTCCATCCCCACACTGCTGCCACCTGCCAGCATCACTGCTGTCCCCTTTGTACCCTCCCCACTCCCAGCCTTCAGCCTCAACCCCTGTGGCCCCCTTGTGCCAGTGGCCCCCTTCTCATCTCCGCTGAGATGACCCTGATCAAGGTCGCTGTGAAATTGTGCTGTCACTGCGTCTGAGCATGAGTGAGCACCACGTGGGCTCCTGGCCAATCCAGTGGAGGACGGCTCTCCTCTGTCTGCCCCCAGGAGCCACTGGCACAAGGGCGAGGGTGGGCGCTGGGGCACAGGCTCTGGAATCCAGGGCCCCTGCTCTCTGTAGATGTGTGAACTTCGCAAAGTGACAAGCTCTCTGGGACTGTTTTCTCTTCGGTTGAAGGGCGTAATACGGCGCCTCATGCACGAGCACAGGCAATATTTGCAATATACCTGGCCCTCAGCAGAGCCTCAGTGAACAGCATGACCACAGTTAGCAACTGACACTGAGGTGGCACGGGCTGTGCAGGGCACTGTGCACAACCCAGGTCTTAACTCACTGACTCCTCCCGACAGCCATGGGGGAGCAGGAACTATTATCATCCCTACTCAGTAAAAAAAGGAAACTGAGGCAGACATAGCATGAGTGTCCAAGTCCAGTGGACAGAAGTAGGGGAGCCGGGATTCAAGCCCCTGCCCTGAGTCCACACGCCCAGCTGCCGTTGCTGAGCCCCTATAATAAGGGGACTCAGGAGAGGGGTCAGTGGGCACCCCAAGCCCAAATGGCTTAGACTGCCCTTTAGGGGCCCGACTCAGGCCCACCCTGCGGGAACCGGCAGAGCAGACTCAGCCAGGGGCTATGGCTGCCAGAGAAGGGGGCTCCCTCTCCCCACGGGGCAGGGCCCCAGGCGGGTGTGACCCGGCCCCTGGTCCCCAGGGGGAGGCAGCAGCTGTCCCCACCCCGCCTCAGCAGGCCAGCGGGGCTAGAAGCAGGTTGCTGCCTCTTTTTGCACACTCAGCCCTCTTTGAGACCTTAGTCTTTCCAGGAAGCAAAGTACCAAAGCTATTTCGGTATCTGTGGTACTTTCGTCCCTCCTGTTTCTGTGGCTGCTGACGTCCAGGTAGAGGGAGGGGGAGGCTGAGGACCTGCTGTGTGCAGAGCGCAGCACCCTCCCTCGAGGGACGTCCTGGGAAGGAAGGCCAGCCACCCTGCAATTGTTCACAGACCGGGATGGCATCCAAGTCTGCACAAGCCAGGAGGGCTTTGGCTAATCCTCAGGGCCGCACCAGCTGGCGGCCTCGGGCACCTGGGCAGAACTCCCCAGACCTGTTTCTGCAACTGCAGCATGTATACAAGAGAGCATTTACAGCCCTGGGCTCTTGTGAAATTCAAAGAATTAAGAAAGGGGTTATAAACTCCAAAGCGCAGTCATACGCCAGGAGCTGGCTTCTCAAAATTGCCTAGCTAACAGGGCACAGAAACACACACACACACAGAGCAGGTTGCCCGGCACGTGTGGAGCCGACGATTATATGAAACAGCAAAGAACTAGCAGTGAGGGTAGTTAATGGCAGTGTCTCCTGGGGACAGGGCTCTAAACTGAGTATTGGAGGATGGATACAGTAGGGGTGAGTCGAGAAGCCTTTCTGGTGGGGGGAGTAATCTGGGGTGTGACTAGAGGCAGTGGAAGGCCAAAGTGACCAACCGGGTGAAGATAACAGGTGCTGACATTTGTAAATTGTCATGGATACAGCCCTTGTGTCTCCAAGACAACGGGTCAACGTGGATGAAGATGAGGTTGCCCTGGAGTCTGTGGGTGCCAAGACCAGGGAGCTGAGGTCCCTGGCAGGGCCTGCAGCTGCCCAGGGTGCCGCTAGCTGCAGGCAAGATCACTCAGAGCAAGAAAAGATCCAATTCTAGTGCCGGGAGAAGAAGAGCAGAGGCAGCAACAAGGAATCTTGGTTCGGCCCTTGATGGAGTGACGAGGCCCCGTGCCTCGGTGTCCCCTTCCGTGGAGCAGGGTCGGGAGCCCTGCTCCCTAGGCGCGGGGAGCACGTCTGCATTTAGCAGAGCCCTGGGCCCATGTCCCCGTCGCTCCATCCATGAACCCGCGGTCAGAAAGGCGGGGGTGCTCAGGAAAGAGCTCTGCTCCGCGGGCCGCCGCTCC